CAGTAATTCCAAGGGTTAATTGCCTCCAGGTCTTCCAAGGCAATTCTGCCATTTTAATCAACAGCCGCCTAAGTGTCGGTCACTTTTTTTTCAGCTCAAAAGTGGCGGCCACTTGTTCAAAGAATATGTTTGCCCTAAAGAATACATTTTCTTCAGCTCTTTTAGACACCATTTTCATTCCAAGAACTTTTGTTAGAACCCTCGTATTAGCAGTTTTTAAATTCGACTCTTGCAATTTAAAAATTGAATTAATTAACCAATTATGAAGATGTTGTGCTCATGTAAGATGTTTTTATAAATCTTCACAGGTGCCATTGTCGGTTGGAGTGTGCATAAATTGATTGAGCTTCTATGCACTGCAGCTGGTTATGGTGAATCACATGGTGTCCAGCGGTGGGTGAAGTTGAACATGTGTTTTTTCCCTTCAGATCAAGGCTACTCAGTCTTATTATCATTCATGTCAATAACCAATTAACCAGGCATTGCATTCGAACCCTGATATGTGCAGAATCTGTAGAATCTTAACTCAGAACGGAGTTTAATGTTGGAAAGATTTATATTAAATTCCTTTGATCAGGAAGTTTATTCTAATCCTTTTTGATAGCATGTATGTACCGTAGTATAATAATTCACAATCGAAGTATGCCTATACAGTATTTAAACATGTGAACTGCATGCAGATATTAGATTAATTTGAAACCGCACTGGATCATGAGAAGCAGATTCATTTTTATTTCGAAAAAACGGAGCCATTTTAAAAACGTGAAAATTCATTTGATTCATTTCTTTTCAGGTAGAACTTATCTGGCACAGCCTGGCCAGAAGTGCCGACAACTGCAACAAGGACTGGACGCCTTTCACAATCCGTAGCTGAGTCACGCTGATTTCCTTGATGAAATCCAGCTTGAGCATTTCCGGCATCTCCGCAGTCTTACACACACGGAAAACGTTGGATATTATGTCTTCCGGTGCGTATCCCATCTTCCACAGGCCATTCATCACCTGCAACAGTTGGAAAAGTTGATAAAACGGATATTCAAATACGATCGAAAAATGATACTGTATTAAATAATGTAAATCCATAATTATTTCCATAAATAAAAAGGGAAAATTAATTTGATTGTGTCTCCCTGTAACACGCTCGAGAAAGTGAAATTATTGTATATTCTGATTCAGGTGCATCAAGATGTCGGATTTGGGATCCCACGCACAGCGCCCCTGATCTTATACACTTATTCCTACCGATTCCGGATCAGGTCGCTGATTTTCGGAATCAGCGCAGCAACCGAACGAGGGTAGACAAGAAACCCTACTCCGCCCCGATTGACTTGCAAATTTCGCTCGGAAAGGAAGACTTGTGCATCAAGATGTTGGATCCCACTCAGCGCCCTGGATCTGTTTGCAGTAACACCACTACTGACCGAACGAGGGTAGACAAGAAACCCTAACCCTTCCCCCCAAACGAGGGTACAAGAAACCCTACGAGGGTAGACAAGAAACCCTACCCCGCCGAAAGACTTTTCCCAAAACAAGGGTAGACATGAAACCCTTCCCCGCCCTACTTCTCCCATTCATTGGCAGCAGCATGACTCCGTCTGTCTGTGAATGGGAGGGTTCACGCACCCAAAAAATGACCCCCATTCATTGGCGGCAGAAATGATGTGAGATCATTCATGATCGATTGATTGTGTGTGTGTCCCTCTCGTCAATGAAACTGTCCGTGAATGGGGGGTTTTTTTTTTTGGGTGGGTGGAAAAAGTTTCTTAGTTGCTTACCCATTTTATGAAGTGTAAAATGAAATTCAGAAAACGGTTTTCGAAATTCAGTGCCAAACCATGATGAGTAATAAATAATAAATTAGTAATTAATTCAATTTCAGGTACAAATATGTTTTCGTTGTATTATTTTCCTCTCTTCCATCCTTCATCAAATTGAAAGGCAATACTGAATACTGAACTCCAACTCCGGTCTAGCAGCCAAAAATTCAACACCGAAAAAACTGTATAACTGTAAATTGCAAATCCCCCAACTCGAACAAACCTGTAGGGGGAAAAAAATAACTTCGATTTTCCAGAAATGAAGAATGTGAACATGTACTTCGTTTACAATTGTTTTAATGAAAAAAATTTAGCCCACCCACCCATGAAAAATCTTCCTTCTGGCTACCACAGCAGTGAATGAGATTTTTTTTCTGGGCGGATGGTCAGTGGGGACCAAATCCAAAATAATATTGATACTGGATAAATATTAATTATGCCATCGAGTTAATAAATATTATAATGCACTCGAAAACGACCGCAACCAGGAAATCTTCACTATTCGTAATCACATTAAATTTAATTTCACATTTTAATTTTTCTCTCTTATTTCTCACAGTATTTCTCATCTGACCTACGCAATAATAAATCAACCTCTATGATTGAAATGAAATTCCATAATGTCTCTCTTCTACCTTGTACGCTGCGTCGATATCTCCGTCAACGCAGCTTTTGAGCATATCACGGACCAATTTCGGATGCGGTTCGTCGCATATTTTGAAGACATTCTCGGCATTCACGTGCCCAAACCCGTGGAAAGTGGACTGCAGGTTGTTCAGGGCTTGTCTCATATCTCCCTGAGCAGTGAAAATGATGGCCTCCATCCCGTCATTCGTGTAGCTAACCTGCAGCAGACACGAGAAGAATAAAATCATCGGTTTTACAACACAAAACAATGATGGGATAAATGGGATATTTTGAAATTCGGTATTCAAATGCTGTACCTTCTCGTGTTCGCAAACGTCGAGGATTTTCGAGAGCAACTGAGCGTCAGACAGCTTGAAGTACCTGATGACTGCGCAACGAGACTGAATAGGCTCTATGATTTTCTCACTGGTGTTGCAGGCCAAAGCGAATCGCGTGGTTTTGCTGTAGACCTCCATGGTTCTCCTCAACGCTTGCTGAGCACCTTCTGTCATGCTAAATACACGCGGGAAATAATCAATCACGTGCTTGTTTACTTGATAATCTTCAAAATACTCAAAAAAAATAATAATTGAGCGTATGAGAAATTAAATTATGGAAATCTGAAATTTTTCCCATAGGACGAGTTATAATAATGCTCAAAACACAAAAAAGCTATAAATACACCAAACTATGAATACGTAACAAACAATAAAATACAAACACAAAATACTTTTGGTCTCCAAGAAGATATTTGCATCAATATGCAATACATGTAATTAATAAATTAAGTAATTCCAAATCAAAACATCAACCTTTATTCCATATCTTCAACAAAAATTAAATATACTTCACTTCAAGTAAATTCTCTTCAGCAAGGCTATGGAAGCTTTGAAACCAGCTCAATAAATGTATTTGACTTCAGTGATGAGTAATTTTTTCCCTTCTGCCATTTGCAGACATAAGATTGAACTGTAAGAGAAAGTTTAAGGCTGCAGTAGAATCTGGTAACAATAAATTTTTTTTAATTCCTGCCCCATATCCACAATCTTACCTGAATTACAAAATAAAAAAATAATGATAAGTGGAGTTTCTTCAGATCCATATTTATTTGCTGAAAGAAAGTTTTTATTGTGTTAGTTCAGTCAAATGAATTTGTTGAGCTGGTTTCATAGCCTTTCAATATACAATTTGGTCAAATTTCCCATCTATAGCAGATACAGTTCTTTTACAATATCTTTAGTTTCTCGTAAAAGATACAAAGGTTGATTATAGAAGTTGAAATAAATTGTTCGAAATAATATTTGATCACAAAAAATTCGTTATTAGGACCCTGTCCAATAGCCAAATATTGCATGAATTTCTTCATACAGAATTTTTCTTTAAAATGAAGCTACTTAGTTGGTTTCAATAGTTTCATCGTAAAGATATTTTACTGTACAATTTTACTCCACAAACAAAAATATGAATCAATCTTCTTTTCATGCTGCGAAATCTTTCAAGAAATTTCGCTCGCCACTTATCTTATGGGACACAGTATTTTAAGGGGATGAACGGTAGTAAAAATAATTCTAACCTGTCAGCTTCGTCAAGAATGATGATCTTGTGGCGATTCTTAGGCAAAGAAACCTTTTGCTGGGCAAACATTTTAATCTTGGTCCTGACGACGTCAATGCCTCGATCGTTGGACGCGTTCAGTTCTAAGACAGCTTCTTTGAAACTCGGCCCCAACAGGTGTCTGGCGAGGCACAAGATCGTGGTGGTCTTACCAACTCCCGGTGGACCCTAACACAGAAAAGAAAAGGAAACAAATTTCATTTCCAAACAAACAAAAATCTGAATTTCAAGTCAGCAGAGAAAAATTCTGATTCCTTTCCCAAATCAAAGAGTAGCAACATACTTTAGATCAGTGTTCCCCAACCTTCTTGGGCCTGCAGTGGACTGGCAAATTTCCAGAAATGTATTTTGCACACCAGAAACTGTTCTGCAGACCAGCAAAGTTTCATATAAGTTATGCCAACGAATTTTTAAAACAAACCTTCTGAAGTACCGTCCATAAACTTTTCAAAGACGAGTAAACGTTTTTAATTCCGTTCTTTGTTACTTCGTCGATGTCCCCTTAAAAAAGTTTTTTAATATTTACATCCGAAGTAGAAAAGTTTCTCTGGATGAACAATTGAAATAATTTATTCAAGTAGGTGAACATTTGTATAAAGTGTTCTCAAGAGAAAAGCCAACTTTTACTTTTCATCACAAAATTTCAACTGCCATTGCCTTTCCCAATAAAGTCTACTGTAATTGTCTGTGGTAACGATGAAAACTATTTAAATAATACGACTTCTTTTAAAGGGTGTCTGGTCGTTTTTTACACTTGTGGTCGCGTCTCGACACCTGGTAACCAACCCCTTTTTTGTTCCACATAGTCTAGAAAAAGCTGACCAATTAAAATTTCTGATGCCTTGTAAAAAAAATGAAATACTGTACACTCACACAGTAATAATAATAATACAGTACACAATTTAATTTCAGGATGGAAAATAGTTTTGGTAGTACTGTACAGCGTATTAAAAGTTTTTCAAGATATTGTCATACAAAACCAAAAAATCAGCCTTATTCATTCAAAATATTAGTATAAATTATTAATACACTATAGCATTTCCTTTAGAAAATTTCAGAATAAATGATATTCCTTTAAAAAAAACAGTACACTATTTGATGAATAACTCACAGCAAGAATGATATTAGGCATGTTTCCATTTTTTGCAAACACCTCCAGGCGACTAACAGTTGCTTCGTTGCCCACAATCTCATGGAATTTTTGCGGCCGGTACTTCTCAATCCTGAGGGAAAAATCACGTCGATTTTGAAACACTAAAACTTGCAAAAACTAAAATCTTACTCACCATGGAGCATTATCCCCCTTCTTGTGATCAGGAGCCAACACGGGAGCATCCGAATCCATGGTTTTAAGCACAAAACACAACTGGAAATTGCACAGAAACAGCAGTTCAAGTGAGGTAAATATATTTCCCGTGTAAGAAAAGGACTTGAAAAAACCAACACAAATGCTTCAAGGAAAATTCTCTCAACTTCTTCAAAAGTAAAAAAAAAAACCACACATTTTCACCATTGCACAAAAATAACGAACATGAAAGTTGATGCTAATAACGTTTTGCATTTTTTTGGAAGAGGAGAAAATTTCATCAGAATGTAAATCATGATAACTTCTATTTTTGTTGAATCATGATGACGACCTGATTTCAACA